CGCGAATTTAGTAAGCGGAATAAACAAAAGCAATAAAAGCGCATGCGCCATTTATCTCATTTTGGATAAAAAAATTCGATTTCCCCAGAGTCATGCCACAACCTAACCCGCGAACAGGCATACTCTGGGAACGAGATTGCGTTCGCACATGCTTCTGACGCATAGCCTGCGAACAGGCGTTTATTCCTCGGGGTCTATGTTGGGGTCAAGTGTATTAACCAATCAGATTGCAGGATTGTGGCACGTAAAAACAAACTTCCAAGTTTCCAACGGTTGCAGTGGAACAAGCGTGCAGTTGCAACGGCGAACGTTAGAAATTTGCTTTAGATTTGTATTTAAATAGTATTTTTAAAATTTATATATTACCAATTATAACAACGAGTCCCTAATCTTTTATAAAATTGCAAGATGGGTTATACAAAACGCTACGGTAGGTTCGATTTTACCGTTCAAAGTTGCTTTATTCGTGCTTCAAATTTTTACACCAATTCGAACGTTGTTGTTTATGCTGTTCTATTCTTTTCAATTTTAGTTGGAGTACGCCGATGTTATCGAAAAGCTTTCGTACATTTACCAGACGATGTATTGCTGTTAGTTTTGCAGTATTTATCTGTGAAGGATCTTTATAAAATGCGATTGGTAAGGCACTTATTTTGAGACCGGATTTAAAACGCTTGAGGTCATGTTCTACGAGACTTTTTCTGTTCAATTATCTAGGTTTGCCGCCGTTTCAATAGTTCAATCGTCAGTACACCAAGCTTATTTATTCATACGTCGTTTGCTGGAATCTGGCCGTCTCCAAATAATTTCCCAATATTTCTGAAGTAAGTAGATCTCGACTATAAATTTTAATACCAATTGTACCAGCATAGTAACGTCCGCCCCCAAGCCCAGGGTGGAAAGTTTGTAGGTTGCGCCGAAGATCTTCGGCGTGGAAAATTCACAAATTTGCTCCATTTTGGCGCAGAATTACGGGAAAATGAACTGGTGTGGCGTACTGGCGTACAAAAATTTATTTAGTTATGCAGACTACAATGTTCTTAACCATTTCTGTTTGTATTTCAGCCATGTAATAACGGGAATTTGATTGAGCACTGACTGTGAATATGTTTAAAACAGGATTTGTGCAGCCACTGGCGCATGTTACTGAACCTTGACCAAATCTTTGGCACACAAAAAACAAACTTTCCACCCTGGCCCCAAGCTAAACTCGAAACCCGTTATTTACAACATATCTGTCTAAACAAAGCATGGGATCTCTGGTTAATCGAGATGGGATCTCTCTGGTTAATCGAGATGGGATCTCGAGGCGGGATCTCTGGTTAATCGAGATGGGATTTCCCTTAGGCGGGCTTGCTCAATTCCGATATAAACAGAAGATGAAACTTACACAGGGCTTGAAATAGCGTTCTCAAAGTTCCCGATCATGGTGATTGGCAGTCATGACTTTACCTGCTTTTCTGCCGATCATAATATAAGTAATTTCTCGCCAATCATTGATTATAGTGATCGGCTGTTATTTGAACTCCTGTTGACAGGAAATAATAACAAACGAGGCATCTTGTCAAAACTGTATACCTGCTTGAGTACCAATGCTGGCTCATCTCATAAAAAGCCCATTAGCACAGAGTAGAGATCTTACAGAAGGCCTTGGATTTTGGCATAACCATTCTGTCACCATGTTCCTAGCTCATGAGAGGCATTCACCCCTGAAAATATTAAAAATGACTGATGCTCAGAGTGAATTTTGATGACGAATCATATGGCAGCGGTTATGCTTTTTTGACTGTGTCAACCTTCTGTTAGCTCTATTCTGTGTCCTAAAGCTGCAGCATACTTGCAGTTAAGATGGTTTGCTGGCAGTGGAACACCCAAAAGGTGGGAGAGGTAGATGGCCGCAAGAAAATTCGAAGCCGAAATGGAGCATGCTAACTAATTTTTTTTTCTAGAGCAACTTCTGTTGGGAACATTGAAGCTGTCATAAAATTGGGAATAAGTTATCTCTACAATGAAGGAGGTATGAAGTGATGATTCTATGCTATATAGGCAGCAAAATTTGCTGGGTTCCGGCTTCTGCTGGGCATCTTATGATGATACCAGTTTCTAAAAATTTGGATACCAGAATCCAGATGCAATACCTTGGTAACTACATCCTATTTGAATATTAAACAAAAAATTCATGCCTAAGCCATTTTCATCTCCAGTACTTAACCCAATATGTATATATATCATAAACATTTCCTTCCAAATAATAAACTCAACACCTTTTTTCCTCTAGTATCAACCAATTACTCCAAGAAGATATCGTCATCTGCAAATGAGCAAAACGCGCGGAACGCAACCGAGTATTTCTGTCAAGCAGAGAATATTACGTCCCAAACTGTGGCATTTATCTGGACGTTCATCCGACCCCCCTGGGCACCAGGGATCATGTGTTGTAAAAGACATGTGTTTAATGGCATCAGGAAATACTGCGAAGATAGAGAGGTAGAACCACTTTAATATATTGCATGCCATAGTTTAGAGGAAAATGTGAAATTTTGCAAAAACTTGTGTGTTGCAATATAAAGACCTCAATAGACAATCCAGTAACATTTATAGCCCAGTGGCACAGAGTAAATACCACAGAGGTCTCGGCAAGTGTGCTAAAGAGAGGCAGTCACCCTCCTGAAAACATATTGAAATTTAATGTTCCAGGGGGGGGTGACTGCCTCTCTTTAGGCCACTTGCTAAGAACATGGCCGCCAGATGTGAGATCTCTGTATGGTTAGCATTCTCGTTCCCCGAGCCTGCGATCCTTGGGAAGGAACGCGAGGCTCTGGGATAATCCGTTGCCGGAAGCCAAGAATCCTGGCTAAGATTGAACTATGCATTCCATTTCAATGGCCAATCAGATTCCTCCCTGAAACAGATTATCCCAGAGCAGGCTCTGGAAACGAGATTGTATGGTTAGTACTCTGTACCATTGGTCTCTTACCATAAGAGGCCTGGACACTAAGCTTTGTTTCTTATCCTCAACTCAAGTGAGAGAAAATGTTTATCTCATGAAATGGATGAGCTCGAAAACTACTGTGATTTTTCATTTGACAGGATGCTTCCCCATCTCTATTGTATTCAGTGGGAAAAATTTTAAGTTTGCTTCAGGTAAGTTTTGATGTTTTATTCAAAGCAGAGTGTTTTTTAATGTCTTGAACGATTGATTGGGATCAACCACATGAAAAATACAAGCAGAACTTCAACATTTTGAGCGAAAGGTCTGAAAAATTACACAAGCTTTTTCTATACGTCTAGTGAATATAAAAGAGGGCCCCCTATACCTCTTCACAATATGCTTTCACGTAAAAATATTTTGCCTTTTCACGAGTCACGGATTAAGAAAATAATCGATCACGTTTCACGGCTAAGTAAAATAAGCCCTTCACGCAAAAAGTATAGGGGGCCCGATCACGTTTCACGGCTAAGTAAAATAAGCTCTTCACGCTTCACGCAAAAAGTATAGGGGGCCCTCATAAAAGTGATCAAGTGACAAAAAATAAACTAATCAGATGGATTTTGTCAAAATGTGTAAAAACTGTATGAAACAAGTATGGAATATGGTGAGAAATTAAAGTAGGGGGTGCACCGCAACTCTGTTCCGGCCAGTTATAGTTCCAGCTGGAAATCCAATTTTTCAGAGTTCCGGTTCCAGTAGGCCCGAACTAATAAAAAAAACATGACCGGAATCGGAACTGTGTCGGCCAGATCCAGTTTTCGGCCAGAACTTAAAAAAATGGTTCCGGTGCACCCCTAAATTAAAGTACTGTCAATGTCTGCTTTTGACAGGCCAAGACAGGTATTGTATTTCCTAAACCAAATTAATTTCATATGGGATACAGGTCTACAAAAGGCCATTCTTTGTGAGGAGGTTATTTTTTCATTTGTATGTGTGTGTTAATTTGTCCATCACAACTTGAAAACTATCAAATTTTGCTACTATTTTGTAGAATGCAGATGGAGAACCAGATTGCAAAGCTAAGGCCAGATACTGGCTGGAGAAGGCGGCACTTCGAGGCAGTAGTTTTGCAAAATTTGAACTGTGGAAAATGAACAACAAGTTGAACACAGAGCCTGCTGTCAACTTGCGACAACTACGAGACCTACGGGAATGTTTGCAGCAAAACAAAGAGGCACAGTTAGAACTAGCAATGAATTATGCTGCTGGGAATATTGGCAATCTAGATCAAGCAACTGCGGCTGCATATGTACGACAGGTGAGACCGCGGCAAGCAGAAAATACCTTGAATGTGATGGTCTAGTGTAGGCAGTGTTTAATAGGCCGGTCGAGGGATTTCTTATCAGGGGTTTTCAAAACCGATGTTTCAATTTTCTCAAAATAAAAAAGACCACCAAAGAATCATACAGTAAATTGTCATTCATTCGCACAATATGCAAGACTTTAGAGTTTAGACTTATACAGTTCCTTACGGCCGGTGATTTGAATGCATGCAAGGAAGCTTGAACTAAATGCTAATAACCTGCAGCCAATCAGAAATTGATTACCATGCAGTTTGTGTTATTTTTCATAGTCCACTTTTTGTTTCTTTTCAAAAAAAAAATGATGATGATGTAAACATGGTTTATGTAAAATTAATATGGTTTCAAATGATGTCAAGAGGCACGACCAGAAAATCGGTTTAATTAATGCCCCCAGCCTAGTGTTGAAGCTGTCGTAATGGATTGTACATGAAAGTCTCTGTCATTTCATTTAGTTCATGGCTACTTCATCACCGTGCAGAATACGTGGTATATTTAAATTTCAACATGAGGTGACTCGTGTAATGAGGTATTTGTCTTGTTATTTTTATAAATTTCTTTAGAGGAATGCACTTACAAACTTTGTACAGCACATGATGTAAACGATGATACTATAATTGAAAATAAAACTATTCTTGTTGACACTTAGGTATATTCTAGTGGATTGGCTTGTTGAAGTCTGCACAATGAAGGTTTGTTTTTCAACAGCTATACTGTTTGGTGGATTTCAATATATGCGCATTACAGGCTAGACTTGCTACAAGTTGAGCTAAACTGTGTCGACTTGTCGCGCTTGAATCCATTACAGTATTAATTCAAAAATACTTAAAATTCCCTTTCAATGTTTTCTAGAGGTGTGCGTCGAAAACATGACATGTACACTTCGGAAAGCGTTTTACTTAATAACTTGTTTAATTTGGAAATTTTTCCTGATCTATATGTAAAAAAACATTTTTGAAATTTTTAAAGTTCTAGGGTATACCTTAAAGGAACACTAAATGGTTTTCCCTACTAGACAGTATCATCAGGGTGTTAGCTACAGTCAAAAATTCTGTGTTAAACGCGGTTTTCCCCAATTACCTTGAGGTCGCAGTTTCCCAATTTTGGGTCAGCCAAAAAATAGCTATAGAAATTCAATGTTGTTAATACGCTATTAAAAACATGTTTAAAACTACATTTGCTCAAAATTACTCCAAAAATGCGTGAAATGCCATTTCAAAGACACAAAAATTTAAAAAATCGAGAGGGGGCAACCGCATGCCCCCAGATCCACAAAGAAATGCCCGGCTTCAGGCTAAAATAAATTTCCCAATTTCAGGTAAACACGGATTTTTTTTTACTTTTGGCTAACACCCTGCTCATCCATGTATGCAGGATATTGCAAGACTTTCAGAAAACTTTTTTGGATTCCCTGACTCAACTCGAGTTCAGCCATTGCACGACTCGAAGTAACCTGAGTATCAGGCTTTATTTAAAGAAGGGAAATGGCCTATTGTACTCAGGCTACCACTCAAGTGGAGCCATTGACTCGACTCAACTTGTTCAGACACTAAAATGACTTTACTCGACTTGTGATTCTAACTATGAGTGACTCAATTCACTACTCGACCTCGTTACAACACTGGGAATAGGTTTCGTGATTTATTTCAACTGTCATAAAAATAAATTTTCTAGAACTTCAGCAGTCATGTATTGCATGCAGCCGTGTCCTATGTCGATATATATTTACTGCGAAGGAAGGGGAACCGTGGTCAACTACAACTCTTAGGAATTGGATGTTTGCTTATTGCTTCGAGGTATAGTACATCTGTGCATGTCATGTAGTTAATCCGCTCATCTCTGATTGGCGCAGTCGCTTACAGGCTCATGTGAGAAGAGGCTGTCAAACGCTCTGCCAAAAGTCGTGGGTTTTCTCCGAGTGCTCCGGTTTCCTCCCACAGGGAAAGTTGACAGGGTGGGTTAGGATAAACACAGTTAAGAAAGTAATATCACAATTGTTGTAAAGATAAGATAGTCTGATACTGGTGATCATGGTGTTGTTTAACCACGCTAACATTGTCAGCTAAAGCTTGTTTCCACAATGCCAATGGGCATGTAGCCTGCGTAGCGGCTATCAGAGAAAGGAAGCTATCAGAGAAAACCCTGTGAACTGAAAGATGTATGTACAATCATGGGTGGATTTACTGGGGGAGTTAGGAGAGGTTAAACCCCCCTAGAATCTCTCTGTAACCCCTCTAATAAAGTGTTCATGCAACCCCCACCAAAATTTTGCTACACCCCTCTTATTTTGTCATTTTGTATGAAAATCTGTAACTCTAACGCTCATGCAGTGCACTCTGCCGCTTGCACCCCACTAGAAATTGTTCCACCCCTCTTTTTAAAAAAATGAAAATCCGCCCTTGTGTACAATGTATCCCTTACTGATGAACAACGAGGGCTTTCGTTACAAACCTAGCGAACTGAAACACAATATTTCATTTTAGATTTTTTGAGAGAAACATTGTTACGATTCGCGAGTCGTCCTGGTTGACAGACAACACTTATTCTTACGAGCAAGTAGTAAGGTATAAAAATTCTGCTGTTATTAACCGCGTTACTTTATAAAATGAAAACTACATGCATGGAAGGGAATATAAACGTCTTCGATATATTTTTCCTAAATTTCAACGATCACTCCTATTCTGCCTTTTCAGAATGATAGGCGAAATCATGAGCTGTTTAAGAGGAGAGACGCAGGTACGTTACGTACTATTTAAAACGCGAACTCCGGAGTGCTTTAGCAGATATAATACATGAGCTAGCTCAACTCATAGTCCATGCTCAGCTCGAGTGTTTTATATGTGCTAAAGCACACGTATTTTAAATGGCTTAAAAAACGAACCATCTGATGAGTTCATTGGCGAAGTAATGTTAAAAATAAACGTTGTTTAAGCCGAGAAAATCAAAGCTAAATTTATGCTGTAAATGAACATGATTTTTTTATCACATATAAGGCCAAAAAAAATATGTGGATTTCCGGTTTCCCGACCCTACCTAGCTCTTGGACGTCAAAATCCCGACCCTAAACTTTTTTATTGGATCATGCTTGTAAGTGTTTCCACCTAGAGGAAAAACTTTGTGGAAAATTGAAATTTGAGGCAATATTAGGGAAATTTATCTCTGGATGTGGAAGCACTGACTAAACAAAATGGCGTCCGGTTGTTCGGAAAATTTAAAAAAAAGTTTAAAAAAAGTTTTTATAAGAAGAAACCGGAAACCCACATATTTTTTTTTTTTTTCCTAAACCATTTCCTTTGTCTTTTCTTCATGAATTATTAATGAGTTTTAAGCATTGATGGATTTCTCAGGGTGCTTAATTTATAGCTACAGTTAAAAATTCGGCGTTATACGCCCTTTTCACAATTACGCTTAGCCAGCAATTTCACAATTTCGATCAGCCAAAAACGTAACTATTATAGGCCTGGCCCTATATATAAAAGATTGTTCAACTGCAAAACTTTTCTCGAGAAAAATTGGGTATCAGATAAGTGTTGCGAGGATGTCATGTAGCCTAAAATATATATTTGTCTGTTTTTGGTACGCAAAACAATGTCAAGTGACTTCAAAAGTTTCAATTTAGCTCAGCGCTAGGCCACAAGAACGTCGCTTAAGAAACACAATATTCCTTAACTCCGCTCTCAATGTCGCAGGCCAACTGAAATTCCCAATTTTCTGATCTTCTGGTTAACACCCTCTTTTTGCAAGATATTGAACGCCCTCCGGTCAAACGATAATTTGAAGAGTTGATGAGAGTTGAGTCTTGAGAAGCGAGAGTTTGCATGAGAGTTTTCTCAACTCCCATGTCCTGGTCAAACGAGAACGAGAGTTGCATGAGAATTGACTGGATATTATACCGCGCGAGGCGAAAACTTTCATCAACTCTCATCAAAATTCGAACCAGCTCAAAGTTGATGAGAATTCATGGTCGAACCAAAACGCAAGCTTCCTTTTTCCGAGGCTTATAGTTATAAGTTCGCGTTCATAGATCTGTATAGAAAATATTTAGTGTGCACTGACCAAGCCGGGAACATTCAATATTACCATGATGTTATCCTGGCAGTACCCAGTGCTATATCAAACTGCAGTGCCCACTCTGGAAGACTAGATAACCACGTCTTACCGGCTGATATCATCTGCAGATATTTGCTTATTTATTTATCATCTGCCTAAACACAAGACGAACTATAGTGTTAGAATAAGGAATAACACATTTTATTATATACACAAGGTCTGGATATGAGGTATTCTGCAATCTGATTGGTTCTCTACTAACAGGATATTAGCTCATATCCTGCTAGTAGAGAAAACAAAATGGCGGCTCAAACTGAATTTCCGATCTTTTGCGAACGAGAAAACGGCAAGTTGTTCGCTTTTTATAGCTTTTACAGGATTAAAAACACGATGAAAAAACTCCCACAAATTGTTTACACGTTAGCAAATTAATTTTTAAAATTTTAAATAGTTAAAAATATATATTTTTGAAAAACTAATCGGCCGAAAGAGCGAAGATAAAAACATAAACAAAATAGAAGAATATTGAAAATATTCGAAAAGCAAAGTCTGTGAATTCAGACCTTGTGTATATAATAAAACAGTTATTCCACTCACTCTCGTCGAATATGAGCGATAGCCGATTCGGCGCTACGCGCCTCATCGGCTATATCAGCTCATATTCGACTCGAGTTCGTAGAGTAACTGTTAACTGTTCGTTCGTGAACAGACGATATAAATTGGTGGCCAGTTGTTCCAAGCTGAATTAACCAGGTTCGTACAAAACTTGAATGTCCTTGAATGCCCTTGAATTTGAAAACAAAAATTCAAGGCCTTGAATGCCTTGCATGTCTCAGGGAATTTGTAAAGACTGAAAGTCCTTGAATTCTTCTTGCTTTAGTTTATGCCTTTATGGATATTTTCTGAAATTGTTTGACATTCAAAAACGGACATTTTCTTGAACTGATTTTGCATGTTCATATGCGTTTTGAACAATTCAATGTCACATTTTACTGATTTCTAACGCCTTCTTTTCAGTATTTAGTGCTTGAATTTGCTTATACATGGCCTTGAATGTCCTTGGAAAGTCTTTGAATTTGACACTCTCTGACGTGTACGAACCCTGATTAACGCTAACCCTGGGTTAAAATTCAACCCACTGTTTTAAGTTTGTGTGTTTCTACACGTCCGCTTATTCAAACTGACATCCGAAACGAAAACTCTTATTATCCAGAAGAGATTTCTGAAGAAATATTCGCAAGTTTATAAACGAGCTGTTTGGAAATTTGCTTTGAATTTATAGGTTATGGCCCGGGGCTGTTTTTGAATCGTTTGTACATTTTATAAGGCCATGTTACATGACGGCAAGTGGAAACCACGAATTTGCAGGCTCTTTTTATGCCCTACTAACATTAAATTTCTTGTTACAGGTTTTAACGGTACCCAACTATGTGAGATTGTGTTCTGAACTTATGAAAGTGAGTCGAAGTTTGTCTGAAGTTATACATATAATGTAAAACCTGTTCTTTCCAGTTTAACCATATCATAACGAACCATAGCAAGCTTTTTTTGTCGCAGTTATTAGTATTAACCTTACTGTACAATATACGACGGAAACGTGATGACAGCGGCCGAAAAAATTCATTCAAATAAATTATTGTAAAGAAATGTTGTTGTCTGTGAATACGACATATATGCTGTACAATATTTCTTCGTGTAGTTAGCAACCTGTAATGCAGTGAAACTCGTATTTAAGTGAAGTAATGAATAATTGAAATACCACAGGAGTTTGTGAGAACTTTGTCGTGTCGAATTTTGAGAATTTTCAAAAAAAATCCCGTTTCACAACTGCGTGTAATTTTTCTTCTTAGGTTGAACGTAAGACAGAAGATTTAGCTTCGTACATTGCAGATATGTCATTACTGAGAGTGGGCTCTGGAAAGTAAGTAGTTACTCGTTTCCATCTCGGGATGAATAGTCGGAGATAAAAACTTTGTCTGTTTTCACGTGAAACTTTGCAATGAGCGCATATATGAACATCCAATTACCTCGGCTAACCAATACGAGGATATTGACAGGGGCGTAGGAACAGCGGGGGCCAGCCCCCCAAGTTTTGCCAAGTGCCCTTTTTCCGGGAGGAAAGTCCCCTTTTTGTGCGTGAAAAAATTTCATTAAGATTGCATTTTTTGCCCAAAGGGGCACTTTTGAAAACTTGAATCTGTGTTATTTCCGGGAAAATGTTTTCATTTCCGAGAAAAATATTATATATCCGGAAAATTTTTTGGTATGTCCGGAAAAATTTTTTCGTATTTAGGTAGCCTGCGAACAGGCTCTCCTTGAACTCTCTTTGAAATTTGAGATTCAAAGAGCCTGTTCGCAGGCTAGTATTTAGGAAAAAATGTGGTCTATCCGGAAAATTTCTTTGGGTACCGTATTTACTCGTTTAAGCGCCGCGGCGCTCCTTAGATTTTCAGAGCTTCAGATGCGGCGCTCATTCGGGGGCGGCGCTCTTTAAAAATATATTTATTTGTGAATTATAACAAGAACTTTTAACAATGAAATTTAAACAAGTTTATAATATGACAAATTTTAAAATAAAATGTCTTTGTCACTAAATGTCCCCATTTTGACCGTGGACAGTTTTTACACTGTTTAGTGCGGCGCTCATTCGGGGGCGGGGCGCTCTTTAAAAAAATTTGATCTCAAATGCGGCGCTCATTCGGGGGCGGCGCTCAATCGAGTAAATAAGGTATGTCCGAAAAATTCCGGGAAAAATTTTTAGATGCCTTTTTTTCGAAAAGTGCCCCTCAAAGCCTGCCCCCAACTTTTAGAAGCTTCCTACGCCCCTGGATATTGAAACGTGATGGTAGGGGTGTTGATGGTCATGGGAGTTACTGTATGATGGTGGTGGTAGTTGTGATGAAAATGAAGTGTGATTATGATGGTATTGTTGTTGGAGTTATGTTAGTGGTGATTGTGATGATGTGATCAATATGAAAAGAGAATAGTTACATCGGAGTGTAACTTTCCAAATAATATGTTTGTACGTTTGCATGACGATAAAACATATAATAGTTTTGTTTGTGGAAACGCCACGTAAATTTATTACTGCAAAGCATTCGATCCATAAGCCCGGATCTTCATCAGTGCTAATAATATGTGACTTGTTCAATTCACGCGCGCCCTTTTTATATAATATGTACTCTATATAAAACACATATACAATAGATAAAAAATTCAATAAAATTGTAGTTCTATATGAACTGGAATAAGCATCTATTTACAAATGATCGCTTGTATCTCTCTGTACGAATTTTCGATAGAATAAAGCTATGTCCTCGCTTTCTAAGTGTTCTAGCTCTCTTAGGGGGTAATAGTTCGTGTAAACTATGAGTTGTGTCTTCCGACATTACGTTCCTCTCTCTTTCTAATTATATCAGACAACACGTAATTTTTAGACGTGTAGCCATATCGAAAGGCTCGTTTTAAAAATACAATGTAGTAGTGGTTAACAAAGTAGTGGTAAATGAAGTGATGATGATAAAAGTGATGTTCATTGTTGTTATGGTGACGATATTGATGGTGGTTGTAGTGCTGATAAAATTGTTGGTGGTTGTACTGCTGATAAAATTGTTGGTGATGACAATAAGTAATATTTATTTCACTCCCATTAGGTTTTCTTGTGCTGTCATGGGTTTCTCTTGTGCATTACTGGCGCAGTTAATATGTTTTCCTGGTAAGCATTCGAGGGACGTACACAATCATAGATGACCACCATAGACAAATTGCCGTTGATTTATATGTTTTTCAGATAGTTCAGACAGAAACCACGACAGCTTATTGTAGTATTACTACTTACACTGGACCATCACATTTGAGATATCTTTTTCAGGTAGTTCAGACACAAACCACGACAGCTTATTGTAGAATACTGCCTACACTGGACCACCACGTTTGAGATATCTTTTTCAGGGGCCGGTTGTATCAAACCCGTTTAGCTTAAACGGTGGTTAAGCTCAAAATAGAAAGCAAGTCTATAGATTCATTAAACAACCAAACTAAAAGTTTTGAACCTTAATAGAACGATAATGTTACAACTATATATTCAGTGCAGAATATTTAAGTTGACTGATTCACAAAATATATAAGAGTGTTATTTAATTTTGTCTTATTCACCGTTTAAGCTAAACGGGCTTGATACAACCGGCCCCAGGTAGTTCAGACACTAACCACGACAGCTCATTGTGGAATACTACCTACACTGGACCACCACGGTTGAGCCTGGTAGTTCAGGCACTAACCAAGGCAGCTTATTGTAGAATACTACCTACACTGGGCCACCATGTTTGAGATGTATATTTTCAGGAATTTCAGGCACAAACCACGATAGCTTATTGTAGAATACTAGTTACACTACCTACACTGGATTGCCAATATATTCATTCATTTCACTCCACACTAACTTATATTGTAAATGATCCACATTTTTTACAGAAATGGTGTGGTGTCCTAGTTTAGAAATCTATCTTCCATTTGATAGAAATACCATCGTGGCTTGTATGTATTACCTTGTCGAGGCTTGGTAAGTTATTGTTAAGCTATAGTGAGGTGAAGTGTCACAAAAGCTTAGTTTTGTTGTAATCGTGGCCGTATATCTTAAGTTAAGTTATCGCGATAAGTTAAGTCGTTTCATGACTTTGTCAAACAAGAACAAGATACACCCTTCCGGAAAATATTCATGGCTATAACTAAGCTTTTGGGAGGCTGAATTGCATACGCATATGATTAGGCTATATCATATGCCAGGAGGCTATATTATACAGAAAAAAATTTTCTTACGAAGTGTAGACCCTAAGCAACCAAAAGATGTCAACTATTCACTTTGATCTATCATTGAAACTTTCTCAAGGGCAGGTGCATGCCTTTTTAGAGGAGGTGCAAAAATTCTCAGGAGAGGCGCAAAACGATCTCGGGGAATAGGTGCGCACCTCCCCTCAAAATCCGGCCATGTCCTTGAGCGCACTGACCAAGCCAGGGACATTCAATATTACCATGATGCTTTCCTGGCAGTACCCAGTGCTATATCAAACTGCAGTGCCCACTCTGGAAGACTAGATAACCACGTCTTACCGGCTGATATCATCTGCAGATATTTACTCATTCACCTGTTAGCAGTTGACTGATTATAATTACACCCCATCCCCCAAGTGAGAAGAGTGTTTTCAGATTTTTTAGACCTACAAAGAATGGCTTGCCTTAGAACTGATAGAGCTATCCAGTGTAGATGGATTTTTGTACAGGAGATGTAATTTTCGAGATATGATAAACTCGCATCCTCGCTTGACCCGAGGTGGTTGTTCGTTCCTTAAGCTTTTAGCCCATTTATGTTTCAGCTTGGCGCAAGATTGTCCGATAGATAAGCAAAATGGACGTCTTAAAGCTGTAAAAGAAAGGTCAGTATATATTTGCTGTGCTGAGTGGTTATATTACTACCTTAAAAAATAAGCAGAAACTCGACGTTTCGAGCGAAGGGTACAGACAGTTTCAGTATATATTTGTCATTTTAATTGCCCGCAAAAAATAGATCTCCTGGCATCAGTCGACACTTTCGGCTCAAAAATGGTTATTTTTACCGCGCGTAACACTAAAATACTCAAAATTCGCTAATTTCACAGGGCTATAGTTTCCGTATTTTACAACATTTCGCAACCAAACTTTGCAATTTTACTAATTTTAGGATGCTCTTTTGAGCTATAATGATATATTTCGTCTTTCTTGTCTAGATAAAACATTAGTCGATAGCTGGAATTGTCTATTGAAAAAATTAACTAGGAAAATCAATTACGTATAATTCAAGATCAGCAAAATTAATGTTTTTAACATTTAAAAACATTTTTATTGTTAAAAACATTGAGTTTACTGATCTAATTATGCATAATTGTTTCTCAGTTATTTCAATTAAAGGGGTTCAGCCTGGCTGAACTGTGCCTTTGAAGAGAAACTCAAGGCGATAGTTTATTTCATTTATGGGCGGTTATTGCCGTAGTTTAATGTGAGAACGATGAATACAGAATATTACAATTATAATTAACGTATTTTATGAAATTTTTGTATTTCAGATATGAATCGCCTAATTTTTCAAACGTGAGCAAATTGAAGGTACCGTCATATGTTTTATAAAAAACGCGTAAAAAAAACCCAGGAAAATTGTTAGATGTGCAAACAAGTTGTAACAAGGTTATTGTCAAGCTGATATCAGGATGTGTTCGCACTGCTTGTTCCCAGTTGTTGTGGCAAGTCTGAAACGAGCTGTTATCACCTTGTTACAAAGTCGATGACGGCAACAGACTTGCTACAAGTTGTTCCAACAAGACCAATACAGGCTGTTCGTTGTCATTGACAATTGTTAACAACTCGTTACGTGTAGATGATTTTAGATTTGTTGTTTGCCTTGACAAGACGTACAGTACTGTATATTAAATTCGATATACTTTCTTCAAGTTACGGGGTAATGTTTTGACGTATTCCCAAACACCCGATTTGGGTATCAATTTCCTGTTTGTAATCTAAAATGACTGAAAATTGCAAACTTCGCAAGGCTATATTATCCGCATTTTACAACATTTCGCAACGAAACTTCGGAATATTACCAATTTTGTGATGCTCTTTCCATAGGCAGCCCAGCAAAATGTGTAAAAATGCATTAAACGCTTAAAAATACGTATAAAGTTCGTCTCAATTTGCTATCAAGCGATTTATAATATACTATATGAAAATACAAGACGTAAACATTGGAATCTGCATGTTAATGAGCTACACAAATAAATCGCTTGATAGCAAATTGAGACGAACTTTATACGTATTTTTAAGCGTTTAATGCATTTTTACACATTTTGCTGGGCTGCCTATGCTCTTTCAAGCTGTGATGAAATTTTTGTCTAGACTTGTCTAGATCAAAATTTTAGTTATAAGGTTAAAGGTCTATTAGACTCAAATGCTCAATTAGACTCAAATGCCTTGTTTTTTTGTTGTTGTTTTTTTGGGGGGGAGGGTGTAATTGCTTGGATGTTCATTCAAGATGGCCTTACATTTTCATGACATTTTTTCTTATAAATGATGCCATTTGTTGTATTTAAATTATTAATACGGAAATTGACCCATTGTTCCAGATGCCTCCTAAAGACGAAATGAAAGATCTGATAATTCACTTCCGGTTATTTAACGAAACCGCTGATACTGTGGCGGACGAGACAACGTTGAATACAACCGCCTGCAGTATTGCGTCAAGCGGTTACGATGGCGACGAAGAAGACCTGGGCGAAATGATGGATAGTGATGATGATGAGGTGATGGCATGGTATGATGATGGATTAGATGGGATAGAAAATGTGGCAAGTCCTAAGGAAACTCCAAAGAACACCCCTGATGGTGCAAATACCGAACACATAGAGCGATCAACTCCCAGTTTTTTATCGCCGAGCTGGTTCCAGGATGTTGACCAATCAGGGCTGACGAATAACCGCAGTGTCTCGTTAAGCGGAGACAGTAGTAGGGGAGGACATGCTGTGCCGAGAGCATACAATTCTGTCAGCACACCAGCAAGCATGCATCGTCGGCCATTAATGGATGTTAATAATAGACCACATTCATCAGGGAACTCTGGTACACGCAAAGCGCATGCGCAATTTAGACCAATCGATAATACACCGACTTCTGAGAATATGGACATGAACTATTAAAAATTGACAAATTATAAATATTGTATAAATGTATATATTAAAGTTTCTTCCTAGCTATTTTTTTAAAATTGAACAAAAAATATTCATATTTGTACAGCCATCTCTATGCTTTCAATGAAAGAAGTTGTTTTTAAGCAAAGTTTTGACTTGCTTTTTAGTGTAGATGGCCCTAGTTAATGTGTACAATGTAATTTCTTTAGGCATTCAATATTATGATATATGAATTTCAAATAAAATCTATTCTATAAATAGTTTACATTTAATTATTACTAAACCATTATTTGCATTAAAAACGTAGTGTTATTTGCATTAAAAAAATTAGTGCACTGAGAATCATAGTACTTTAGGAATATAGCATAAACTAATTTAGATAACATATACCAAAAAAGGGGGGGGGGGGGGGGGGGGGGAATACTAGCTCTCTGCCCTAAAATCCTTTTTCTTTATAACTTAACATTGCAGTTTGACAACATATATGAACTGGAATTTGTTATTAGATATGCACATAAAGTGTGCATTGCAAACCTGATGAATCACCTTAATACAATGACATGGTGCTTAATTCCTTTTGTTAACCCATTGAGTAGCAGTACTCTTCCCCTGACGAGTAAAATTATCTGGCGTTAGACAGAGTAAAATAATAAGGTGGGGCACATTGCCACTTAAAGTTTAACAGGGTGTATGGGGAGATGGCAGCACTCTCCCCCACATCCGTCGTTAGAGTAAAATAATAAAGTGGGGTGCGTTGCCACTTAAAGGGTTAAGGAGGGTTATTTGTATTACACATTCCAGTCTGATATATCCAATGGAGAGATATTCGCAAACACTTTATATTTTTTGCTTGTGCAAAATGTTTTATTCACAACACACAAACATTACAAGTTTTAAAAATGCCAAACCTATCTAGACTACCCCACTGACTTAAAGACCAACCCCATACAGATAGGTTTATACTTTGTAGAAAGTTTGAGCCTTTTACTGCACCACTGTGCATATTTGGGAAGCCAAAATTAACTTTATTTTCAGATTATGAACTGAACTGTCTGGCTAGTAGATTTAGGATTTAAATTAACCAGAAAATATAGCTTCGATTATTATAACAATCATTGGCTTTTCATATTAACTAAAATCTTACTAATGTCCGTTTAAGTATATCAGTTCAGCATGCTGCTCAATTACATGGAGAGCTTTACAATAGACGGTTAATAAACAGCATAGCTAATAAGACTTAAAACACAAGCAGTCAAAAACAAGCACAAATTCTCATACAAATGAAATCTTTCTAAATAACATTGAGTTTAGATGTATGTATTTGACAGTTGAGTGGGTTGGTGGTTGCTATTTAAAGCTAGAAGGCAGTTTATAAACAGCCCTGCAGTATATTTTTAACCATAAAACATTTCCAACCATTAACAAGCACAGGTTTTCATCCAAGTCATACTAAATAAAGTGTATGTTTCTGAATGCATGTATATTCAGTATGTGGAATGTAGACCGGAAATAACTAGTTAACTACGCCAGTAGATATTCAACCGTAAAACATTAACATCCATAAACAAGCACAATATTTTCGTACAAATATAATCTCCCTAAATAATGTTCAGTTTCAATGAGATCAAAGACTTTAGTAGGTAGGTGGTCTGTATTCCCCAGATTGATCAGTCTGACCAGATTGTTGGAATGGCTTGGCTTGGTAAGCATCATCATTCTGTTGATCCGGGAACGAGGAATAAGGCGAGCTCTCGTAAGGTTGTCGACTATGTCCACCAAACTCAAAGTTGCTTGCCCCGTCATTGACATTTCTGAAAGCAAAGTACGTTTGAACACCCTAAATTTAAATAAAAAATTAGTTGCATTATGTGTGATGATGATAACAATCCTTATTCAGGAGGCATTCTTGCAGAAGTGATTTTCAGAATGGTCCTGCACTATAGAACTAGTATTATACAAAGTGAAAAATATTATATCTAATCTATTTACATGTGGTCAAAAGTTAAAAATATCATAAAATTATCTATCATTAAGGTACTTGCTGAACTGGTAAAAGTTTAAAAGTTGAGAAGAACAATAGTACATAATGGCCGACAGCCAAAAAACTTTCGATTTAAATTGAGAAATTGACTGAGCATTTTGACAATTTGATTCAAGGTTGTTATAATCATACACAGCATGATAAGTGACTTTATGTTTACCCCCAACTTGTCCTTGTCTTGGGTAAATGAAGAAAACAACTCTGTCGAGTATTATAATTATGAATACTGCTATTATATACTAAATTAAACTCAAAGTTTATGTGATTATTTAAACATTTGAAAATGAAGATGCATCGATGGGCATGTCTTCTTTCACTTTAATCATTTAAATAATCGTCTTCTTTGACTTAATCATTTATGTGTGCATCTTAGTTGGTTCTTAATTTTTCCTGGTTAATTTTTCCTAAACAATTTTTTAAGGCTGGTGGTTCTTAACCCACTGGCTCTTTTGTGCAGTTTTTTACAAAAAGCAGATCCTGGTAATCGAAGTCCGATCCGACTACAAAAATACTTTTCCAATTTTAAGTGAATATTATGGCTCCGAAATCCAAACGAACCAGATAGGATTTGGATCAGATTTGCACATCTCTAGTTTAGGCACAAACCACTGACAGCATTTTATATGAGACTTACCCAAGAAAGGATGGAGAAAAAGCTGAAAGCAATAGCTCCACCAGCATTGCTTTTCTCCTGTGATGAGAATTGATCCTTATTATCTTGCTTCCTCCATTTGTCGCAGAGGTAACAGAACCCAACAAACCACAGGAATGCCCACACACCAGAAAACAGTAGGTCAGAAAGGAAGATATATTTCTTTGCTTCTACGTTTGTTATGGAATCCGTGAAGAAGTCTGTTGCAAGGAATATTAGACAAGCGATGAACGCAATCACGCCTATAGCAACTCCATAGTTGCATGCACCATCATCTCCATCATATACACAGTACTTCTCAGACCTGCCAGTACCTGGTATATCTATTTCTGGTTTTCCTTTATCGGCTATGCAACCAAAGACGATGATAGAAAACAACTAGGGGAGAAAGGTTTTGATCAAAATGTTGCCACAGTACACAATAGTCAAATACGGCCCATTTTCATATGACATACTTTTCATTGGCTGAACTTAACCCATTGAGCGGCAGTGCTCGGTGCCCTGCACCAGTAAAATCATCTTGTGTTGGACAGAGTCAAATAATAAAGTAGGGTGCAATGTGACTCAATGAGTTTACTAGATACATGGGCAGATGGTCTCATTAACCCATTGAGTACCAGCACTCTTGCTCAATGGGTAAAATCATCTGGTGTTAGACAGAGTAATATAATAAAATAGGGCGCATTGGGACACAATGCGACTTGATGGGTTAATTAACAAATTAGGTAGGACAAAATTCAATTAAGTACAGCAGAATTTGGATTAACAAATTTTGACACAAGTTCTACATAACCTGTTGCATTTATGCACCTATCAATATTAATCCCAGGGGGTAAGGGTGTGGGCAATGGGTGGGGATTTGACAAAAAAATTTAAAATTGGGTCAAATGCCCGCTGGTGGGGCATTCTACGTTAATCAAATGTTTCAAAACAGACGCACCCAGGGGATAGATCGAGGTAAAATATTTTAATAACATTTAATGTAGAGTCACAAAAAGCATCTGGGCATCGTAAATTTTATCCCCAGAAACCAGACTATGTACTGTATTCAAATTCCAAAAGGCCAGAAGACAGAAGCAGATATAAAAAATAAAAGTTTCCGGACTTCCGGTTTGATTCTAGGTTCCAGGTTCCGTACTGAAATCACATGTTGAATTATGTCGAAGGGCAAATCGCCCGCACCCGAGAAAAAAATCTTTGACAAATGCCCGTCTGTGGGGATAGAATTCACGATTAAATCCCCACTCACTGCCCGCACCCTTACCTTAATATTGACAGGTGCATTATACACCACTCCACTTGTGTGCCAAACCTAACTCAACTTTTTGAAATTAGACTACCGTGAATCAGGGAGTTGCCTGTAACAAGTAGCCTCCACCCGCCTTGCCTGTAAAAGCTTGCCTGACACCAGAAAACCTTTGCACTGAGGTTAGCATCTTCAACGAATGTGCCACACATTGTTAAATTTATACTGTATTTTGGTCTGTTGTCAGAGTGAGTTTATAAGTCATAATGGGTCTTATCTCATAAACTAGACTATCTACGAATGTCTCTTGTTTTAAGCCACAATATTAATATGCCCTATTAAATAGACCCATGTTATTCTACTTTGTTCAATACCAAATGATTTCACTTGTCAAGGGAAAAATGTTGGGCATTAATATTTGTTGACTTACTAGCTTTTAATACTACAACATTTACTACAGATGGCAATAAACTGAAATTGGAAATCAATTTCAAAGTTGAAATTGGAAACCAATTTAAAAGTCTATCATGCATATCGAAACTAGTTTGGTCATACGAATGTTGTTGGCAAATATATTAAAGAGAGCTTTTCATGTAACGCCTTTACTAGCTTTTCTGCCAAATGTTCAAATGAGCTACTTTAGAAAGCTTGCTATGTAAACTAAACTTCTTTTATGATCTAATTCTAACAGGGGAAATTATTCGGTCGTGTCAGCGTCGTGTATATTTTAATATATACCCATGAGCATGATATTTGCTAATTAGCCTTGCCTGCATCATCATGCCACTCAAATTAAACTTGCAAAATGGCGAAACATTTTCACTCGTTTTTGAAAGCACAAATACCTTCGTAATATTATTATTTGTCAAACGAAATTGACAACCCCAATACATCCTAAACAGGGCGCTTCTCACGGGATCAATTTCAGCGATTAAACAAATCGCAAACGGCATCGTTACGCCAGAAGCACCGAGTTTTAGTTACATGTTTAATCTCTTAGAAATTCCGCCACAAAGGCAACAATACTTACTAAAGATAAAAGTCGACAAATGACCTGAGGTCTTCTCAGTACATCAATGGGGTCAGCCATTTTCAAAGCGCCACAAAATTCGTCTAAATCCCACTACTCGACTACAAATAGTGGTGATCGGACTGTGCACTCTTGCCTCTCACACGCTAGCCTTCAAATTTGCGATTCAAATTTCAACCCAGCTCGAATAATTAAATTTTAGTCAAGCGTGATTGCGCACGATATGTAATAATTCGATTTCCACAATTCTAATTTCTTCAATTTGCTACATACAGCGTTACTAAATTTGCCGCCGTGCTTGCAAAAAGACATGTTCGCAGTCACAAGTTCGATTTTAATTTTTAACTTTTGAAGTTTAATTTTAGCAAAACGACGTCATTATTTTGGTATAAAGAATTTTGGGTATCGTATTTCATCACGTGCTTGGCACCTGATGTGTTCTGATACGTTGTGGGATCGTTGAGGTTATCCGGGGTTATCAAGGGTTATACGATGGTACTATTTAATGGTATGTATGGTACCATTATAGTCACAGAAATGGGGCATTTGACAAATCAAAATGGCTGTATAACTGAATTGTGGTAACAAAATCACAAAATCAAACTAATTATGATCAACCTGTAATCGAAAGCTCGTTTAGAACAGGTTTATAATCGAAACAGGTTGTGTAATCTGAGAATAGTTATAATCTGTTCTTGGAAATCATTACTTGATTCTCCGAATTGCAGAAATTGTGATGAATTTTGCAATTCACAGAGTGACACTGTAAACAGACCATATTTCCTAGTTTTCTCAACTCAACAGAATGAACAATTGGGCCCTAAAAACGGTGGCAGTTAACAAGTTTGGCCAAGAAGTCATTACCCAAGCAAGTCAACTTTTAACAAGCAGAAGTATACAAGATGTGTGTGATTCGATATGCAAGAACCTTGACTCGAAAGTTGATTTAAAATCTGACCTGAATATGTTTCATGTATCTGGCTTGACAGGCAGTGGCCGAACGACATTCTGCAAAGCCGTTATAAAGAATTTGATCCAAAATTGTTCACTTGAGAAATCCGAAATCATTTACTTTAAAATTGATAAACACGACAATCTTAATTGTGTTTGGAACTGCGGAGTTCAGTTGGCAAGGGTTAAAAATCTTGGTAACTTGGCAGTGTTACTAGCTTCGCAAAGTAGCACTCTCGAAGCGAAGGAAAATGCTATGGTTAGTGTTCTCGACAGTTTTAAAGTTGTCTGTTTTGATAACGTTTCCATTTCTGAAACCAACCATCAACTGTACACTTTGTTAATGGCTATAATACACAAATTGAAAACTAATATTATTTGTGTATCAAAGCCAATTACCTCACTCCCAAAATATGGTACTCTGGTAGAAGTTGATGGGCTTAATTTTGCAGCAATTGGTAGCGACTTGAACTGGCAAACAACCTTCCAATATTTGGACACCTTTTACAAATATGTTGGCAAAGCTATTCGCTCAAACCCAAAAGCTGTTCAAATGCTCGTTAATGCATCTCAGATTCTCGGCATACTTCATTATCAAGCAGCTGCCAACCCAAGCCCTGTTCTCAATATTTTGAACCTAATTTGGGAGCATTTAGGTGACTATGAAAGAATGGCGCTCTCGCAGTTGAGTGAGCTTCGTCGAGCACTACCATTAAAGGATGCCGATACTCTCTCCAGAGTTATTCGGATTGGTTTGGTGGAATATGAACCCCCGGGGGCTCATGGGAATTTGTTCGGACAAGTTATCCTTAGCGACTGTGTTCGAGAATTTGTCTTGACAAAGAGAAGTGACGACAAGATGGTAAAAACAGACTCAAAGTTTGATGTATTTCAATGCTGGATGGTGTTACTCAGTGAAGAACTGGTTGGCCTCATCGCAGAAGCAAGAAGCCATTCATGGCCATTTGTGCCAGAAAAATGGTAGGTACACTAATTTTATTACTAAATTTTATTACTGGACTGTCAGGTTTTAATTGAATGTAAATTTTTATTTTGAACAGGCAATATGTTAAGAATGCCAGTCGAAAAGAAAGTTATAATGTCAAGGATTTAATCACCATGAAAGTGAAGGATCTACCACATTTAACACACTTTGATGTTTTACAGGTGATATTATTATAAAATGTAGTAAACCTGTAATATTTCCTGTGCATGTCCACAAGTGAATATCCTCTAACTGACTAACTGTTCAACCAACTGATAGGCCGACTGACGGACTTGACTGACGACCAGTCAAGTGTGTCCAGATAATTTTGGTAAAATATTTTACTTTTGGCAAAATAATTTTTGGTAAAAAATTGTGTTTGAATGGTACAGAGGCATGGCCAGGGGCCAGGGCCCTCCTGGTAAATTTTAGCCCCACTGAGAAAATTCATTTTATAAAAGTAAGTGAAGCCTGGCCCCACCTAAGATTTTGCTGGCCCCCACCTAGGTTTTTGCAGGGACGTTGCTATGGGGGGGGGGGGGGAACACCCCCCAATAATTCAAACGTTGGTCAAAGTTGGTCAAAATGGAAGTGATATTTGCCCAAAGTTGGTCAAAATGGAACTAATAATTGCTTAAAACTGAAGGTAAAACAGGGGAAACATTTGGTAAAAGTTTGGGATAAAGGATGGTCGAAGTTGCCCAAAGTTATGAAATGGTTGTAACAATTTTAAAACTTTTGTTACGTTTGCGATGAAAAATTGGAAGTTTTGCTGATTTTGGTCGAAAAAGTTTGAATTATTTTGCTTATGTTGGTCTGGAAAATTTTTTTTGACGATGCTTATGTTATTATTCAAATATGGAATAAGAAATTAGTGGCCAACTCATCTGACTTAGTATTTGTATGTTTCTAATTTAGGAAACTCTACACCACTCTGTTTTGAGAAAAGACCATGAAAATATGGTAGCAATATTATTCCTCATTGATAGATATATTTACTGGCAAGGAGGATCCCAAACGCTGCTTGATATTGTTGATTCAATTGCGAAGGAAAAACCACAGTTGCCAATTGCTCCACAATTGGTCATCAGGAAAGCTCGTGTTTTGCGAACCACTGGAGATTTGCAAGGTCTGTGAGAATAATTGTCTTTAAGTTAATTTTAAACTAGTCTAAATTATCTTTATTTACACTGGATTAATATTATTACTCTATCAGTACTGCTAAACTGTTCTTTCTAGAGGTGTATAGTAGCCGCCCTCACTCATTTAACCATTGAGTACCAACACTCTCCCCTTGACGAGTAAAATCATCTGGCGTTAGACAGAGTGAAATCATAATGCTTTGATGCTTTGGGTGCAATGCAACTTAATGGGTTAGTAACTTCTAAACACACATGGTGCCAAATTTGTTCAAAGCTGGATTTAGCACTTATCCTTAGTTAAAATTTAACTTGCTGTTTTAATTTATGTATTTCTGCATGTCTGAGTATTTCAAAACTTCAGAGAAGAAAACTCCTACTGATCCAGACAAGAATTCTGAAGAAATAATTCCAAATTTATAAACAAGCTATTCACAGGGAAGTTTGCTTTAAATTTTAGGTTAACCTAGGGTTAATTAGCTAATCGGCTTTCGAATAACTGGTCCATGGGCAGATAGTCTGATTGAGCCAGCAGCAGCGCTCTCGCCTTGACAAGTAAAATTATCTGGCGTTAGACAGAGCTGGAGCTCTCGACTCTCACTCTAAGGACCTCTGACAATGGGAAATTGCTAGAGACCTGAAATTATAGTTTGCACCATATGACAAAACATCTATGGGTGGCCCAGTATGGTTTTTCCTGGAGGCCGGCCAGTAATGCCCATCCCTTATTGATCCAGTGCTAGAACGGAATGAGGTTGAGATTAGTGCTGTGCAAACTCCGGTTTTTCATCTCCGGCTCCGGCCGAATTACAGCTCTGAGCTCCGGCTCCGGCCACATCATAAAATATTAAATAAATGTTTTACGATCAGAGAACATTTATTAATATTACTAAATAACCCTTTTCGCGCTTCCTAATTATCAGATAACATAACTCAGGAAACAAAACAGTGAAAACACTTAACCACGCAGAAAATATCTATATGGAAACCAGTCTCGAAAAATCTTTGACACGAGGCATGACGCGAGGCATGACGCTAACACTCTCAGACTCCACAGCGCAATTGTTCGCACGCAAACAAAGTACTCTGTCATTTTCAAAAGGTTGATATTTATTTGGTTTGTACTTTTTCGTTATCTACAAGGCATGAATACACAGACTACAGTATGTAGCGCTAAGTCAGATGGCTTCATGAAAGCATGACGTTTGTAAGTTGCGATCGTATTACAGCTTTTCGACGCTGTTCCTGCGGGCTGTGGCAGTTTGAGTCTATGATGAATTCATTAACAGCAATTGGCAGTTTGCAGTAACTAACAATCGTTTAACATTTGTCTCATTTTATATTGTTTTCTTGTCATTTTGCCGGAGCTGGGAAAACGTAACTCCGGGCTCCGGCACTACAAAATTCTGCTCCGGTTCCGGCGTCGGAAAAACCGCCGGAGCTCCGGCAGAACTCCGGCACCGGCAACTCCGGCGCACAGCACTAGTTGAGATCAGACTACCAGAAGAAAACCTGCACAGTGTTTTCTAAAGCCACACTGGAAGCACTCTTCTTGCATGTAGGTGAAATTATCAGCGATTTGAGGGTATAGGAAACAGACCTGCAGAAATATCAAGAAGGGACATACACCGACCATCCCTGATGAAAAATGTCTATAGGTGGCCTATATAAGTGACGTACTAATTATATTAAGTTGTATTTATAAATAAAACTTTTTCAATACTGAAATTATGCTGTAAAACAATTATTCGCCTCAGGTTCTGTGATTACAAGCCTATATTTACTGACTCATTGTTAAATAGGCATCCCTATAGGTCACCTATAGGAAATGTTCCAATTGCCTATAAAAACCTATAGGTTTCCTATACGTACGTTGGCCTATATACCAGGTCTATAGACTTTTTTGTAAGGGGATATATTTGCCATATGACACCTGCATAGTTACATGAACATGACCTTTATCCACCCATAGGTGCAGAGAAAGTTCTGGACAAGCTGTTGAATGAAAAACAAATGCTTGGTATGTGGCGATACAGGGAAGAACATCACCATCATCTTGTAAAAGCTGTCTGTGTGCAGATCAAAGGTGAAATCCAAGCCACGCTCGGCCAGTGGTATAACTCTGCTGTGTTGCTTCTTGATTCGGTGCACCTATTTAAAACGTTACCCAAAGTTGACAAGAAAGGCTTGTCGTGTAGCCTGGGACTGCTGGTTAACACCCTACAACGTATGTCGGTAGAGGAGTTCAAGCTTATCGCGCAGAGATATTTTTTGAAGGCATCTCATCCCTATATTCAAGCACACCAGTTTGCCATTGAAGCAGCCGAAATGGCGATATATACACCATTGTTTTATGCCCGACATAAAGTAAGGAAACCAAACGTATATTATTAACCATATAGATAGCTCCATCAAGGCCGGATTTTGGTGGAAATAGTGGGAGAGGTGGGAAATATTTTGGGGAGGTGCAGCGATCTAGCTCACGACCCCCATGGAAAGTTAGCACTTAGGGCTTAGAACAGGCCAAAGTCAACGACGTGACGTATGCATGTAGTGTACATATGCATCCAGTATATTAAAGAATTATGGCTGTATAACTTATCAAATTTTGCCCTTCATTACAATTATTATAAAGTTTCTTTCAAAACATTGCATTAAAAGAGTACTTGACATAGAGATGAATGGCTATCACTGTTTCAATTTTACAGAAAAACTTTCTTACGAAGTGTAGGACCTAAGCGACAAAAAAATGTCATATTTTCACTTTGATCTATCATTCAAACTTCCCCAAGGGGAGGTGCATGACTTTTCAGGGGAGGTGCAAAAATTCTCAGGGGCGGCGCAAAACGATCTCAGGGGAGGTGCGCACCTCCCCTCAAAATCCGGTCATGAACTCCATCAGTTATGAACTGGTCTCCGTAGAGGTCTATTGTATTTTATGCTCATCACCTATGGATACATTGTTATACTAACAAAGGAAACCTCAAAGTCCAGTAAAGTCCATCCCTTATTTGTCTGTGGTTACTACAGCAGGAAACATTAAATATGACTAACTTTATACTGTATAGTCAGGGTCTGAGATTTACAGTATCTTGATATCCATAGGATACTAAAATTTTGTTTTGGATACCAAACTGTGAATGACGACTTGTATCCGAACTGGATATTACAAAATCTCAAACATTAGGATAATGCTCCCAATAGCTTTGAATACCATGAGTCTGCCTTCTTCAAAATAACCAGCTTTTCATTTCCAATCTGGTACGGTTTGTATACTGCAGTTGTTGACTGTTGAGTCCAATGAGAGACATATACAATACTGCATGCTTACTTTGATGATTCAGGGATGCCAAAATTTATGGTAACCAGTATCCATGCAGAAGTGGGATACTGATTACTAGATTCTCAGATGGGATACTAGAACTTTGAATCGTGGTATCCCAGTCGGGTAGTGAAAAAATTTTAAATTTCAGACTCTGTCCCTGGTATAGTTATATTTTAGTAGGCATTCTTTAGTAGGACCGCTTCTTAGCGGTCTAGTAAGCGTCGTCCCTTATTGGTTCAGTGTTCCTAGAGGAGGAAACTAACTTTATTTATACAGGATAGCTGACTATCAGTTCTAAACTGTTCTCTCTGCGGGTCCAGTAACTCATCCAGTTTTATTATAGGAAGAGACCAGATTACCCGGAGTCCGGAGAAAACCAGCAGCGTTTAGACTTGAAGCACTCGATTTTTTCACATCCAGGGGTGGAAAAAATAGGCGAGTACTGCTCGCAGGAAATGTTAAACAGCAGCTGTAGGAAATTCGTTTCAATGGAGATTTGCTATTGAAAATTTGAAGGAAACCTTAACACCCATGTCCCACTATGGTCGCAACAACATATGGTTGACAGACATTATTCCTTGAATTTAAAACCATGGACAGAGCTAGAACACTATAGGTTTATGCACATGCAGATTTAGCACAAAAATACTCCGTTGGTCTACAGGAAATTTTTGTCTCCAGGTTATGCTCCAAGAAAGAAAATTTTTTCTTCCTGCCCTGCTTACATCCAAGGACGTGAAATTACAGTATACTCCGCAGACAACTGCATATTGCAGTTACAAAACTAACCTGCAAGCTATTACAAAACTAAAAGTAAAAGGACACAAGCCCTAATCACTAACAAATGGCATATCCATGAAATTGTATCATTCTTTTTTAGCGCCGTGCAGGAGAAATGCTGTTGGAATATTCAAAAATTGCTACAGATGATCCTAAAAGCGAATACCTGACTAATGCCTTGAAGGAGCTGAAAGAAAGCTTAGCTGCACATAAGACTTTCGATTCCTTAAACAGTCGTGAACAATATTACGAATTTATCAGCGCCTTATACAAGGCGAGCTGCGTTGGGGAATTAATCGGTGGAAGTACCAAACAAGAGAGGCTCTTTGATTTGAAATTGATTTCAATGGTTTTGTTTTACCATTATTGTCGTAATCAAACATCGATTGTCCACGATGATAACACTAAAACGTATATCAACACAGCAGTGAGAATCCTTGAATTACCATCTTACATTGAAATTAATGAGTATTTAGTTGGTACAACACCATCATTGGTCTACCCTGCCAGAGCAGTTGTTGTCGAACCAGGTATGTTTTAAACATGGGTGTCATTACAATAAGCTGTCGTGGTTTGTTTCTGAACTACCTGAAAAAGATGTCTCAAACGTGGTGGTCCAGTGTAGGTAGTATTCTACAATAAACTGGTGGTTTGTGTTTGAACTACCTGAAAAAGATATCTCAAACGTGGTGGTCCAGTGTAGGTATTATTCTATACAATAAGCTGTCGTGGTTTAATGTGTCTGAACTACCTGAAAAAGATATCTCAAACGTGGTGGTCCAGTGTAGGTATTATTCTACAATAAGCTGTCGTGGTTTAATGTGTCTGAACTACCTGAAAAATATATCTCAAACGTAGGGGTCCAGTGTAGGTAGTATTCTACAATAAGCTCCATTTTGTTAACTTGTAACTATTGACGTTGTCTTGGGTTTCACTAAGGACTGTCGTGCAGCTGTGATCGACCAGCAGTTATCAGAGTACAAAAGCAATGTTAATTATTTTCTTTTAGAGATATTGTTTAATTTTCTTGCTCGTATTCAACAGTTTTGAAGTTGACAACCACCAAGAACTAACAAGTATTCTTTTTTCATACCCGTAGCTAAACCTCCCATGGGCATGGTAGATAGATGCGCTGAAACCATACAAACACTGACCTTGGAATCAACTATCGATCGCTTCAAGACAACAGTGTTGACAATAGAAGACTTTGAAAGCAGTGACATGACCCGCGGTCAACTTAATGAAGATGTGGACATATCTAACGATAGAATGTTCAACCAATTGACTGACATCAATGTTCATGGTAGGTACAGTAGTTTGCCTAGCCTGCGTGCAGCCTGACTTTAAATGGAGGGAAGTCAGTCTGCGAATCAGGGAATAATACCGTGTTCGCGCCATCTTTTGAATTGACCATTTGCGTAATAGACAAAATTTTGATCTAAACAAGTCTAGACAAATATTTCATCACATCTTGAAAGAGCATCACAAAATTAGTAATATTCCAAAGTTTCGTTGCGAAATGTTGTAAAATGCGGATAATTATAGCCTTGCGAAGTTTGCAATTTCCAGTCATTTTAGATTACAAACGGGAAATTGACAGCCTCAAAGCGTATCGGGCTGTCAATTTCCCGTTTGTAATCTAAAATGACTGAAAATTGCAAACTTCGCAAGGCTATATTATCCGCATTTTACAACATTTCGCAACGAAACTTTGGAATATTACTAATTTTGTGATGCTCTTTCAAACTGTGATGAAATTTTTGTGTAGATCAAAATTTAGTCTATTACGCAAATGGTCAATTGCATGGATTTCTGTATTCAAACGTGATTGGCTATTGCTCAAAAGCCTAACACACACGCTACGATTGGCCAATTCGTTAATATATATTTGGTTCAAACAACATTCCAGAATGAAAAAAATGGCGGACAAAAACACAAAGAGCAATGTTGGGTGTAATTTATGCACAAACCCATACAAAAGATTTGAAAGGGTTCTCATTGAGGTTCCCAAGACGCCATTTTGCTAAATATATTATTTTGTTGAACTGAATCTATTAACGAATGGCCAATCGTAGCGCGTGTATTAGGCTTCTGAGCAATAGCCAATCACGTTTGAATACAGAAATCCATGCAATTCAAAAGATGGCGCGAACACGGTATTGTTCCCTGATTCGCAGACTGACTTCTCCCCATTTAAAGTCAGGCTGCACGCAGGCTGTAGTTTGCTTAGTTCCTCCGCCTTTTCGCTTCCGCCTTATCTGTTTGACGGGGTTGGAAGAGGTTCAAATAAAAATACCAAACAGCCAGCCTGCAAATTTTTGACAGCCTGCAGCTTACCAGCTAGTAAATGGTCAAGGATGCAGACTAATAGATAATATATTTATACTGAAAGGGGTACCTTTATTTTAAAGAAGAGTACTTTCAGTTTTGCACCAGCAATAGGTCCAGTTTCCTCCTTGTAGTATGGGATGACCTTTACAGGACCTCGAGGCAGATTTAGTTTAGAACTGATAGAGTTATCCAGTATATGGTTTAGTTCTTGTTTCCTATTGTATTACCATCTGAACCAATAAAGGATTGCTCTTACTAGAACTCTATAGAGAATTAACAGTTTAGATACTGATAGAGGAACTATATTTAAAGTGCCCCTGTGACGATTATCTCTCCAATTTAGATCTTAGTTACTGTCGTTCCAATTGAAGTGTTGCTCAAATATTGATTCAATACATTACCTCGGGCTGACCAATTCATTTCATCATGTTCCTCGAAATATTCATACACTTCTTGTGAAAGAGCCAATTCCAAGAATTTGATCATTTTTGGTCACTTCCTTTCTATTTATGATTGGTTAGTTGCACAAACAACAAAGGTGATTGGTGCATTCAAACTATTCAACAGGAAGTTTACAATTACACTAGGAAGTGTATGAATATTTCGAGGAACTTGATCAAATGAATTGGTCAGCCCGAGGTAATGTATTGAATCAATATTTGAGCAACACTTCAATTGAAACGACAGTAAAGGACGCCATTTACTCCAGGATATTAAATTAGATTCATATCTAGAAAACGATGAATATTTTTCTTCTTCTATCACGGCGTTTTTTAAAGGCACAGTTCAGCCTTTTGAATGATGGTTTTTAAGGCGCATTTCAGCCCTTTTAATTGAAAAAACTAACTAGGAAAATCAATTAAGCATAATTCAAAATCAGCAAACTTAATGTTTTTAACATTTTAAAACATTTTTATTGTTAAAAACATTGAGTTTACTGTTCTTGAATTATGCGTAATTGATTTTCCTAGTTAGTTTTTTCAATTAAAAGGGCTGAAATGCGCCTTAAAAACCATCATTCAAAAGGCTGAACAGTGCCTTTAATGGAACCATAAAGCAACAGCAAAAAGTCCAAAAACGATTACTTCTTCACTATTAAACAAGGTTTAAACGAAAGCATAGGACCGAGTACTCGTATACACGCAAAAGTCAAGTTTCAGTCGTTTGAATGGTCGTATTTTTCAAAAAAAAAGCCGGAAAACACAATTAACATTTTTTAGTGATATAGTTATTTTTTGTACTGTTTCCATGGAAAGAATGTATGTACATATTGAAATGTCTATGCAGTGGTAACAGCTGGGAAATTTGTTGTGCATGCGCCAGATTTCCATTGAAACTTGAAGATTTCCCCGAAGAAATATTACGGGATGTTCGTGGTTGTTCGTCGTTGTTGTACAGTATATTTTTGAATGCCTGTTTAATCTTTATACTTTTTTCGCTTGAGACAAAGACAAAGTAAAATGTACTCTACGTTTCCAGTGTATAGAATATCTCGTTTGAACAGCAATAGAATATTATAATCTTGACACTAACAAGAAGACATTTGGACACGCTAAATCTGTAGTCATGCCTGACTGAGGTATAAAAGCCAATCGTCGCGAGCTTGACAGCCTTGTCAAACGCAAAACAAGTACAAATTTGGGTTCAAACAGAAAAAAGTTAATACAACTAACATATATTCTACACAAATACGGGTGGTTTAAAATGTTTTCAATTGAATTTTCAAAGCTTTTATCTATCGCTATGATAATCAAACTGTGAACTTGTTTTGTTGACGCTTGCGAATGCAAAATAACTTCCCGTAAACCGAGCATTTCTACACAAAACTCTCGCTTAGTCTTCTGATGCACTTGTACGTTCGGTTCACTAGTTAAACAAGGAAAATATTCAAGAAACACTGGTAAATTGTCGTTGTCAAGAAACATTTCAGTGCTGAGCCTGAGGCAGTACAAGGTCTCAAGGGCAAGGTCAAGTTGTCGATTTCATTACATTTTACAGTACTTCGGAATGTTTTCGAACTCTTGCTTCATACAACAGCAGTAAACGCACGCATTTCAAAGCGAAATTAGACGCAAAGGGGCAATTTTTTAACAAAATTCATTGTTAAATTATGTTTCCTATGTGCCTTGGGGGCAAAAAAATATGATTTTAAATTTGGAGGAATCGGTAAATTTTTTTTCAATTTGGCCTGGTATTGCACCCTACCTATGTAATGACTGTGCTGTAAAAGTAATCAAATATACTATTTTGAATTTCCCTTCATTGAAAGGATCTACTATTGTGGACTAAACTAAATTTTAATCAGCATACAAGGCTGCAAACAACAGCCAAGAATTAGCTGGGTAGTTTGCAAACTTTAAAAATAATTGGACCTCAAACTTTGATCCCCAAAAGTAAACAAATGGCCAATACTGCGAACATAATCCAAGTTTTGACCACTAGGGGCAATTTTTAGATGTAAAAAAACTTGTTTAAATTACATATCAAACAAAGGCAAAACAAAATTTGGTATTAATTTTTTGGAGGAAACGTCAAGGTTTTTTGCTATCCGCGCACGCTTCTACACCCCCTCCCCCAGGACCTTCTCTATCAGAAAACAGTTTTCTGCAGAAACTATGCTTTTTTATCGGGAAAATTTTTACTTTTCTCAAAAAAATACTTTAGAAACACGGAAACCTTAAATATTTAAATAATTTTCATACCTTTTTGGGATTGCAAAAAGCAAAATTTGATTCATTATCACACTTTTTAAAATATATGTGACAAAGTTGCTTCGAAATCACTATCACGCAGTAGCATGTTTATTTACCCACATCCTTTTGACTGAATAAAGTTTATCTTTTTGAAAAGCTATTTGTTTTATAGCTCTTGGTTAGCAGTTTACGTTTATGTCGATTTTGGCACCCATGAGGCCAACAAGTTATGGTAATCCGCGAATGAAAACTGATCAGTTCGAAGAGCACAAAAGCCAACTCCTAGCTATGTAACTTTATCGCCTGAATTTTGAATCAATCCACAATTAAATTTCTGGTAATATAGATGCTTTCCATACTTGAAATGTTAGTGAAGTTTTTCCAACAATTTAATTTCCTTGATCGCCGTCTTAAAAATGCAAAATCATCAGTTGAAATTTCACTCGTGTTGTTTTTTCAAATTTTCGAATTTTTGTAAAATATCGCGTGCGCCAGCAATTTCTCTGCACAGCGACAACAAATTTCCCAGCTGTTTGCAGTGGTGCTAAATTACTTTGAATTTGTACTCGAGTAAAAGTAGAAGTAATTAACAATAAAACGACTTGAGTAAGAGTAAAAAGTACTGGAAGCAAAACGTACTTAAGTAAAAAGTACAAAGTATCCTTAAAAATACTTGAAGTACAAAGTAAAAGTACTATTGTCTATAGCGTGTAGGGGTGGGGACTTCTCCAATGGATTGACATACAAAAGACACAAAACAGCACACGCAATATACAATTTTTCACCGCAGGATCTACTTTCCAGACCCCGTTGAAGATATAAGAAACCATTAAATAAGTAATGCTTATATGTAGAGGTCCTATTACCTATCCCAAAATTAAAATAAATCCGGAATAAATCACGATAAATGTGTGAAAGTAACGAAATACTTACGTTACTTCTTAAAACGACTTCGTTCCAAGTAAACGTACTCCAGAAAAAGTTTACTTTGTTACAAATAGTACTCAAGTACAGTGACGAAGTACATTTACTTTGTTACTTGACACCACTGTGTGTATGTACCACATAGCTATAGTGCTACAAAGTTTGAATGAATTTTACCCATTACGAAGAAAGGTATTCATCGTTTTCTAAATCTAATTTAGTATTCTGTACGTCGTAAATGACGTCCCTTTGGACCTAATTTGTATGTTTTAAAAAGCTGAGTATCTTGAGAACGAAACAAGATATTGAAAACCCAAGAACGCCGTAAGATCTAAATTGAAGAGATGATCTTTTCGTCACAGGAGCACTTTATTAAGCCAAAGTTGAATCATGTAATTTTTTAACTTTTAGAATGTGAGGTTTCATCTTATGACGCAGTGCACTCGAAGTGGCGAACGCAGAGGACACTTGTGTACATTGGGGAACAGCTAAACCTTTCCGAAGACAAAGAAGGGGCACAAAGGGATCCCTATATGGTGGAATATCTCAGTCAGGATGAGCCTTTGGGGAAGTATGTGGGTAAGAGGTACCAAAAGCCTCGTGGGCCGGAACAGTATAAGGAGGATGTCAAATGCCAGATGACAGCTCGTTATTATGTTGGCTTGTTTAACCAGGAGTTGTATCATAAAGGTAAGCATGGTCAGCACGGGTCACCATTTATTTACCCAGTGGAACTGTCCTCCCTGGAGGTCCAGTAAGGTGCTATGCTTATTGACCAGTGAAACTGTTCTCTCTAGCTAGAGGTCCAGTAAGGCGCTATACTTATTGGTCCACTGTTACTACAGGAGGAAACCTATAAAATTAAACTTACTTTACACTGGATAGCTCTACCAGTTCTAAACTGTTCTCCCTAGAGGTCCAGTGAGGATCATCTTGGTCCAGTGTTACTGCAGGAGGGAACCTAAACTAAACTAACTTTATTTATACTGGATAGCTCTATCAGTTCTAAACTGTTCCCCCTAGAGTTCCAATAAGAATCATCTCTTATTGATCCAGTGTTACTGTAGGAGGAAACCTAAACTAAACTAACTTTATTTACACTGGATAGCTCTATCAGTTCTACACTGTTCTTCCTAGAGGTCCAGTAAGGATCATCTCCTATTGATCCAGTGTTACTACAGGAGAAAACCTAAACTAAACTAACTTTATACTGGATAGCTCTATCAGTTCTACACTGTTCTTTCTAGAGGTCCAGTGAGGATCTCCTATTGCTCCAGTGTTTCTACAGGAGAAAACCTAAACTAAACTAACTTTACACTGGATAGCTCTATCAGTTCTACACTGTTCTTCCTAGAGGTCCATTGAGGATCATCTCCTATTGCTCCAGTGTTACTACAGGAGAAAACCTAAACTAACTTTATTTATACTGGATGTAATATTTTAAATCCGACTACGAGGACTGTACTAGATTTCAAGTCCGCGCAATTTGATCAACTCCAAGCAATCTCGTTCCCCGAGCCTGCGCTGCTTGGGAAGGAACGCGAGGCTCTGGGATAATCCGTTTCAGGGAGGAATCTGATTGGCCGTTGAAATAGAATGCGTAGTTCAATCTTAGCCAGGATTCCTGGCTTCCGGCAACGGATTATCCCAGAGCCTTCGGTTCCTTCCCAAGGATCGCAGGCTCGGGGAACGAGATTGATCTCCAAGGCGAAGCCGAGGACTGGATCAAATTGCGAGGACTTGAAATCTAGTCCAGTTCGAATTGGAGGATTTGAAATGACATCTCGTACGAATAAATCACTACTTAAAGTGAGGTGTTATCGTAGCCTTGCACAAATGCACAATAGTGATTACTGAATGTGTCAGCTTGCCTGCCAGTATTTTACCTCTAGTTAAAATGCAGTACCTAAATCCTAATGCCCGAGTATAATTGGTGTGTCGTCTCGCGATTTATTCATACATTTTTATCATTTACAGGTATTGAAGTGAGTCCAATTCAGTTCTTACCTGTGGTAATGGTCAAGCTACTCGATGAACCAAGATCTATTATTTATAATGTCGAACCATACATGCACGGCAACTTCATGAAACTAACCAACAATCTGAATTGGGTTGAAAAAGAAGGGGCTGGAAGTAAACTGGTCTTAGCATTCAGGTAAGTTTCTCCTTGAAATGGTTTTCTTATCGTAGCCTTGATTAAATGCCTTTCACCTCTGTGAAAAGGATTCAATTCCTAATGGTCCGACCCAAACTCAAAGTCATTGGACATTTTGTCAGACGGTCTTGTAAAATATTTTTAAGGCCTGCTGGACTTCTAGCGAAGACAGTTTAGGACTGATAGAGCTATTCATTGCCAAAAGGCTAGTACTGTGGCCCTCTAGAGAGAACAGTTTAGAACTGATTATTATTATTTACAAATATTTTAAAACGGTAGTCCTTCAGAACGGTAGCTCTGTCCTTGAGTGTTGTAAGTTGAATGATTTAAAGTTACTATAAAGTTTAATTACTTGCTCCGAACCGATTCATGGCTTCCAAAATTCTGGAAGCGCATTGCTAGTATCACTTTTGATACAAAAATTCGCTGACCCCAATGTATTTTGGGCGAAAATACCACGCTGCCATGCTGTTTTACTTTGTACAAAACATGGTTTAAACAAGCACCGAAGCACGTACATTTGATAAGTAAAGGAGAAAGCTCAAAAAGGAATAAAATAAATTTTGAAATTACACTGAAATACTTTCGCCTGCTTCTACTTTTAAATATGAAATTTCCTTAAAATTTTTTTGCCGGAGCAGGAGCCGGAGTTTTGATTGCCGGAGCTAGAATAACCGGAGTTTGCACAGCTCTACCAATCTACAATAGTTCTTTTAGCAAGTCACTTGATCGGATCTCGTGTGACCTACCCGTAATTATTCTTGCTGCTCTATTTTGCATTTTCTGCATTTTATCGAGCAAATAGTTGCTACAATTGTCCCAGACCAGGCTACAATAGTCGAAGTAAGGGAGAACCAAAGATTTATAGACTGTGATTAAGATTTCTTTTGGGACAAACTAGAGTCGCCTTAGCATACCTTATCCTTTTAACACTTTGTTATTACATTATTAACATGCTCATATTCTATAAAAGTTAGTCATAAATAACGATCCCTAAAATTTTGATAGAGTTGTAAAGTTTAAATAAAACTGAAATAAAGACAATTTAGTTTCTTTTTCCTCAGGTAGTGAAAGTCGATCAGTAAGTAGCCTGCGAACAGGCTCTTTGAATTGAATTAGAGCCTGTTCGTAGACTGATCAGTAAGAGATGACCCCCCTTTAGAACTGATAGAATATTTTTCATTTAGTCATTTCACGTACGAGCGATCAAAGCGTACGCTACTCATTACTGACCACCAGGGCTGGACCACAGAGGATCATCTATCCACAACGTTCCTTACTGATCCACAGATACACAGTACTGATAAAACGTTGTATGGCACAGGTAACCTAGGCATGCGTGGGATAAATACATTTTGGCAAGATATGCATAAAGAGTGCAATGACATTTGTCAACAACTTGGTCTAACCAGACCATAAGGACACAACATTAGATCTACGTAATATAAATGCATTTTCTTTTGTGCAAGATATTAATATGGCTACAAATCATTAATAGCTAATACAGCTAATTCATTACCATTAATTCCCAAACTACAATACATTATCACATTACATTTAAATAACATCAACTGAAATTTAGGTCGGAATTTTGTTGTGATTTCTGAGCAAATAATAGCATCTTGTGCTGAAATACTCTAAAACACTCTTTTCCTTGTTCACCCAGAAATAACTCTATCCCTACTTTAAGATTCCGGCACAGAGTAGTTATATATGGCGGTCTCACTTCTGCAAAATAACCGTAAGAGGTTAGAGCTCGACAACTGGCCTCTGTAGCTCAGTTGGTTAGAGTACTGCACTGGAATCACAGGTTCAATTCCTGCCAGGGACATATAAGTTGGTAAAGTTGCATATTTCGTTTCTGTTCCTGGTTACGTCTCATAAATGTAACTATATAAATTTCCACTCGACAATTTTCATATGCAATACCCATCAACCCATCAAATAGTTTTTACTGTGCATATCTTAGCAAGTGCCCTAAAGAGAGGCATTCACTCCCCTGGAACATTAAATTTCAATATGTTTCCAGGAGGGTGACAGCCTCTCTTTAGGGCACTTGCTAAGAACATGGCGGACTGGAAAAATCCCTTACGCTAAATTAACCTGAAGTGAGACCTCTGTAAGTAATTTCTCTGTGATTCCGGGTTGAATTTCCTGGTTATTTTAAACTTTCACCACTACTATATTCTGGTTAATTTGATCAGGACATCCTGGTTCAATTAAGTATAAACCACGACCATACTGGGTGGATAAATAACCAAGGGCTCTGGTTATATATCCACCTAATCCAGGACTGGACTAATATCCACCCAGCATGGTCTGGATATTTTAACAAGATCATCCTGGTCAAATATAAGCAGATTCCTGGTTACAGAGATGTCAACCCTAAGTACCTAAATTGCGGGTGATAATTTCATAACTAATCACAATTTACTTATAAATACTGCAAATTATAAATACTGCAAATTAACATGCATTGATGTGATCAATACTATTAATCAAATACTGAGGTGATCAATAATGATTACCATGCATTGATATGATCAATGAATACACTGTTAATAATATACATAAAGATATTACTCGACTGTGATTGGTTGATTTCAGTGCAGTTAATCCCAAACATCTGTAATCACAGTGCAATTTTCTGTAATCACAGTGCAATTTTTTGTAATCACAGTTATAGGCTACCCAAAAGTGCATGTTGTAATTTTTACCCTCGCGTGTGGTGCTCGGGCATGCATCGAGTCTACTCAGTTTATTATTATGAGCTATTATGTCGTAATAATAAACTGCAATTTTTTGTAATCACAGCATAGGCTACCCAAAAGTGCATGTTGTAATTTTTACCCTCGCGTGTGGTGCTCGGGCATGCATCGAGTCTACTCAGTTTATTATTATGACCTATTATGTCGTAATAATAAACTGAGTAGACTCGATGCATGCCCGAGCGCCATGCGCGAGGGTAAAAATTACAACACACACTTTTGGGCAGCCTATGATCACATTTCGCAAAGTTTCGTAAAGTCACAACTATTCGGTCAAAACTAAACAAAAGAAATGTGTATCTTCTAATTCTATGGTTCTACCACAGAATAGAGAATATACATGTATTCTGTGCTTTGAGATCATGTTTTAAGTGCAAGGCTAGTTCAACATAGCCTCCGCTGAGTTAAAATTATCATCTGATTATGCATGTGAATGTCAATGAATGCACTGGTGAATTTTAAGTGCCATTTTTTATGCGGGTGATGATTCCAAAATGCACTATTTAACCAGGAATAGAAAGTAATAACCCAAATGGTGGTATTTCTAGGTTACAACATTTGATGTAAGCAGATTTCATTTCAAAATCGTTGGTTTGACAATGATTTTGAAATAAATCAAATTATCACGGCATATTGGGCATTGCAGTTGCTGGTTCCCCCTGAAGTTTCCCTTAGGATTATAATAATAATTATTATTATATTTATCCAGGATACCCACATCAGATACCCACATTATCAATCAGACATAATACGGCAGTAGGTGGAGTTCATGCTGATGTGATGAACCCCACATACTCTGATGGAATCTTCAGAAAGGTTCTTTAAATTTAATTTGTTTTGACAGATCATCTGTCCTTGTGCACAAACACAGCATAGTCATAAGATGTCTCTGTACATGGCGCAGTTGCAGTTAGCGCATAAAAAATCAGTTTGTTTGTAAAACCAAATGAGCTCACTGTCTCTAGCCCGAGTGTGATTCATCATCATTTGTACTGTCTGGTACATTTGTATTTTCTTCACCATTATTCTGTACATTAGTATCATTGTTTTGTACACTAGTACAGTATTTCACAGCCAAATCACCTCTACCCACTAACATGTCTTCGAGTGCAATTTTCAAGTTCTCGAGTGTTGCTTGTATAGGATTACTACATACCCAAGTCATAAGCATTTGGTAACTTTTCTCACCAACTTCTGGATAGTTCCCGTTAATCATTGTCAGTTGCCAGTCTTTGAGCCCCAAGGCTCGCCCCAGTGCCTTCCACTCACCCACAGCCTCATGGGCCAGATAGCGTAAGGTGCGAATGTTTACGTACCCCTCCCTCTCTTGGTATGGTTGAAGTGCATGTTCTACCATGTCACCAGTAATGTTTGTCGGGTTACCTGAAAGTTCAAAACAGAAGGTATGTTAAGTGATTAATTTAAGTAACTTTATTTATACCTGATAGCTCCACCAATTCTACATTTTTTTCCAATAAAGGTCTAGTTTACTTATACTGGTTAGCTCAATCATATTTTGTTAAATCTGTTATCATCTTACCAGGAGAAAACCTATGGTCCGTTTGGTAGATTCAAACAGCCACATAATGCAGAAATCAACCCAGTCCCAGAGTTAAAACTGACTGTCAGTGCTATATCGGTTACACCATTATACACTTACCTGCCACATAAGGTTGACCAGGTGGTAGAATACCACTATAAAACAAATACGGCTGCATAGGCATACCATTAGTCGGTGATAAATATGCAGGGTGAACATAATTTCCATGGGCTGATTGAGGTGGAACAAAATTCCCATGAGGATTGGCAAATGGTTGAAAACTTGGCACAGGATGATAAAAACTTGATTGACCATTGGATAAATATGGTGCTCGATACGTAACTGGGCTAGGGATGGTCACAACTGGACTAGGGATGGTCACAACTGGACTATGATGGACTTGTGGCAATATAAATTCTATAACAAAAATTCTCATAATGGCTGCTGCAGGGATAATGTCCACAGTAAACGTTAGTCCAGCTATCTTAATTTGGTTTCCTTTGTTTAATGGCATCCATTGATTATTATCAGTGATATATTGTCTATTTAAATGATAGCCTTTACTTGTACTGATGTTTCTGGTCATAAATAAAACTTGACCATTTGGTAAAGTCTGTCCGATGAGTTCTACATGATTTCTCGAAGCCTGTTCATGATTTACGAAGATGTCAACAACATCGCCTCTGCCGAAGATAACTGATTTGTTCCACTCAAAGCATTTGCTTGTCGGTAACTGATTTATTATATCTTGGCTGCATTCAGTGTCGATGTGGAGTTGAATCTTCCATAATTCTTCTTCTGAAATAAATACAAAGGAAAAGCTTTAAATATTGTATTTGTGTGGATATGCCCACTGTTTTAAGGTAAAGAGTTAGGTGTAATTGTGTTGTGAAATCATACCAAGACTGTGGTTAAGTTAGAATTTCAAATAAATCCTATGTTAGAAAATGAAAAAGTTAAGAAAAGGTTTTACGGTTTAACCGGTTTTAAGTCAGATGGTCTACTAGTTTTTATGTTAATCAAAACCGCCCAAGCCTAGCCTAACAGCACTTATTATATTGAAAACATTTTTAGAACCACTGAATATTTTAACACAATACAAAACAAGTGAAACTCCAAAGAGAAACTCCAATCTTTTCAAGTAAAACTCCATTGATCTTTGGAGTTTCACTTATTTTGTATTTATTATATTGTTGTATTTGGTACACCATGTTGACTTGTACCTGTGGCTTTTGTCGTTGGTATGTCATCTTCAACTGTCCTTTTCTGACGATCTACTAGATTACCAGTTTTCATTGACTGGCTGTCTTGATAAGAAGATTTTTCATGATATCCAATGTGATTCGTCGATGTAGCATCTACAACTTGACTAACACTTGGACGTTGTTCAGCGGACTTTTCATTTGTGTCTTCAACGGTAGCTTTATGTCGATCCACTGTGCTATTTTTTCTATCTTGACAATTAACCATGTGGTCCATATCTGTATATTCAACTGTCGATTGTCGACGGTCCACCATACCACTAGCAGATTGATGGTGGTCCTCTACTGTTCTCTTAGTGCGATCAACAACATTGTCACATGATGTTCCAGTGTCACTTACTCTATTGTCAACTACATTCTGCCTTAGGTCCACCATACCTCTGCCAATCTGATGCCTGTTTTCAAATGTTGGTTGTTGATGCTCAACATGATAATCAGCTAAGGTAACAGAATTTTCAACTGAATTTTGCTCTCGATCGAACACATTTTGATTTGTATTGGTAGAATCACATTCATGTGCCATGTTTTCTTGGCTGATAGAAGCTTGATCATCTTGTGTAATTATTTGATCATTCTGAACGACAGAGGATCTTATTGAATCATCTGATGTAGAATCCAAGGGTTCATTTCCATGGACAAATCGATCGGCCATTGTTGGCTATTCTATAAAGCTTGTCAACTATGATAAACCTCTAAGAAATATACAAACAATTCTAAGAAATTATGCTACTGTTATTTAAACTATTCAGTTTCTAGGAAGGGGTTGCATCATCCAAAATCAAAAATATTTTCATAAGATAGAGCATTTTACAGTACATTTTAATCTATATTAAAGTTATCGGTATATTTCAGTATTAGTTGCCAAGTAAGCATAATATAGTACATAAGTAGACCGTTAAACACACGCATATATGGCATGATTTACTACACAAAATATATTATCTAAGTGGACTATTAGTAGTTGGATTTTACTGAGCAAATGATGCAGCGAATGGTAATCAACTTGCAGTTTAAAGATAAAAAGCAGAGCCCAGCAAATAACTTTAAAACCAAAGGCAAAAATGAGAGGGAAAGTGGTGTTATATTTTATGTATAGTACTGTTAGTTTAATCTTGCTCCAAAAGAAATCGTGAAATCCACTAATAGCGTTAAATTTAACGCGCTATAATCACTGTAAATTAATAGAAACATTTCTAAATAACATAGATTTAAGTCCAAACTTTGGAAAATGGCAATTATTGAATTAATATCTATATAGTAATTAGTAACATAAATTTCTCAACGCGCCGCGCCAATCAAGCGTAAAATAGTCTGTTATAAAAACAGAACAATTGTTGCAAAATATAGCGATTAGTGATGGCATAAAAGTAGCAAAATGTATATTACCTGAGGTATAAACTTTTGTAGTGGAAATATTTAACAGAAAACTGTATTCTTCAATAACTGTGATTCACCTTTCGTAAACAGATGTTTTGAATGGAAAGACAAAAGTTGTAATTTAATCTTTATCATCCGCTCTGTGACATCATAAAGATGATGTAATTCGGTATAAAAATGCCAGAAAGGAAATGTACCATTTCAATTTTACGTCACTGTCTCACTGAACGGAAACTGTACTTCCTTTTGTTAATGGGCGACTTGCGCTTTAGACTAAATTTTAATCTAAGTAAGAAAAACGAAATCTATAGACCTTATTCATAAATCGTGACGAGGCCTCGTATCCTAGGATACGGGGAAAAAAAACGCGGGAATACAAGCGAAAACTGCTTGACAAGCCAAATTCAGATGCTATATATCGACTTCAACGGCTTGTTTCTTGTTGCCTTTTGCGATTTATAACATTTTGTGTGTATTTTAAGACTTTGTTAATTGTGCCCACAACGAAAGCGGTAAACGAGTATATTATAAAAGCGACCGGTTTTTCTCCCGGTTTTGTATACCATGCACGATATATTTTTTGCTCCCGAGCACACAAAAATTGTGACGCGTTACGTAACGTCACAGTGTATGGCAACAGGCAGGTTCTTATTTCACAATAATGATATCATATCACGGCACGTCACAGCACGTCACAGAGCGTCACAAAAATCGTCACAAAGCGTCACACACCGTCACAAAGCGTCACACACCGTCACAAAGCGTCACACACCGTCACACACCGTCACAAACCGTCACACACCGTCACAAAGCATCACACACCGTCACAAAGCATCACAAACCGTCACAAAGCATCACAAACCGTCACAAAGCATCACAAACCGTCACACACCATCACAAAGCGTCACACACCGTCACAAAGCATCACAAACCGTCACACACCGTCACAAAGCATCACAGACCGTCACAAAACATGCATCACAAACCGTCACACACCGTCACAAAGCGTCACAGACCGTCACAAAGCATCGCAAACCGTCACACACCGTCACAAAGCGTTGCAAAACATGCATCACAGTATATGCTGGGCAGTATGCATACTGGTACTGCATCCTCCCCATCAACAATTGACTTGTAACAAGGGGGGATTGTACTCACAGACCGTCACAAAGCATCACAAACCGTCACACACCGTCACAAAGCGTCGCAAAACATGCATCACAGTATATGCTGGGCAGTATGCATACTGGTACTGCATCCTCCCCATCAACAATTGACTTGTAACAAGGGGGGATTGTACCATCTCTGAACTTTGTATTTAAGCTTGAATTTCTAAACATCCGGGCATCCTGTACACTCCACACACCACATCGATAAACCAATATCTGTAATCACAGGTGGCTTGAACATTCAGTGAGGCATATAATAAATCACTAGCGTTTTGACTAGACTTGGCTTTAATTGGTATATGGGTACCATCTATGACCCAATACACTGTTGGATACCACGGAACACGTAAAAGTATTGACCAATTTATTTAAATAAGGTGGTACGGAAATATATTGTGGTCCAAGAAAATCAGTTATTGCAACGCAAACACTTCCCACGGTCTTAGATACGGACGATCTAGCCACTCCGAATGTATTAGCCACCTTTCTATACCTGCCTTCATCAGACAACTAGTAAAGAGTGATGCCGACCGCCTACTTGGGTTTCTACAGATAATGATTGTCTCATTCGTGTTGTCTCTCTTTCAATGATGGGTCGAAACTCATCGCATAATTCCATAAAGTTTCCTCGCGACATTCTAAAGTTCTTTTTCCACTCACTTTCTGGGGATACTCCGTTAAGCAAGTTTTCTCACCACATGGTCGTGTGTCCTGGATTTACCCAACATCGTCGCGGCGTTCGCTTACGTATTTTGTTCGCACTCTGTACTCTAGAGCTCATAACTGTGTTTTGAATCCTTTTGCGTCTTCTTTTGTATGTATCGAATGGCGCATTGTATAAATCATGTTTGTTTGTAAAAGAGTCAGTAAAACGACAACATCTTCAATATAAAGTTTGTTCGTTCACTGCAACCAGATATATCAATCATGTTTCGCTCGCTACTCTGGTTTAAATAAATGATTACAAAGCCCACTAGTCGAATTGTAATCAAGACCCAACGTTTCGACACTCCAGTCTAGTGTCTTCATCAGGGGTGATCTAAAACTGCGATCGTGGCTTCTTAAATACCCAAGGGATGTCGTCACCTGCCAAGAAGATGCATATATTCCTCTGGCAAATAGGCGCCGTCATCCCTATTCAAAGCATGATGACTCATATTTATATGCCACGCTTCTAGGCAAAGTCTTTGACCATAGCGATTGTTTGTGGTAATTACTTTAGACTTTTCCCACGATAACTAAAATATATTTCTTAAAATTCCTGAAATTTTACATTCTCCCTCCTTACATATATTTGCCAATATTTTTGCGAGTATACACGCGTCACTTGTTTACATCCACCAAATGTCGGGGCTTAACTCGAATGCTTAA